ACCTTCCTCTTCTTCTGCGATACCTCCTCCTGCGCATCGTGATTCACCCTCGCCTCCTTCTGCGACACCTGTCCCTGCTAAATCTGAAGCTCCGGCTCCGGTCGCCTCGCCTTCTCGCTCACCATCTCCTCCTCCTCCTCCAGTCGAGAAAGAACAACCAAACACCACCTCGCATTCTGTATCCTCAGACGGATCCGCTTCAGGTTCGGGCTCCGGATCCCATTCTCGTCCGCCAAACTTGACCATCCGGAAGAGCGTCCGGATGGCTCTTCCTCCCACTTTTTCTACTACACCTCCCGCTCTGGATGACTATGACAATGGTGATGGTGATGGTGAGGGCGAGGGACGGAGGGGAAGGGCGCCTTGGTCTTCTCCGTCCCCGCAGAAACATGTTTCGACTCCAACTGCGAACGGACCTCATTATCACTCTAGCAATGATTCGCAAGTGTGGAGGTCGAAGATTGCCGATGAGACGAGGGTGAAAGACGTTTGGGTCGATTCGAGTGATGATGAAGATGACGATGGTGGGTATAATCATGCCAAGAGGTTGTTGTCGAAGTTGTCGAGGAAGTTATAGGAACTTGCCTCGGCACAAGGTTTCTCTCTCTCTCTATTTCTCTCTCGGGCATTTCTTTCGCTATTATTGTTGTCGTCACTTTCGTTTTTCTCTTGCACGCTTTCTCTCTTCTCGTTGGTAGATCAGTTCACCCCCCTCGCTATGATCAGCATCTCTCGGATTCTAAGTTATATCCTTTCGTGCTCGCATTGCAGGCCGGGTCCCGTATCTTATTCATTCATATAATAGCTACTTCGTTACGTTATGTATGTTAGGTACAATCACGGTTATCGTCGTCGTCCTTACCTTCGAACGTTGAACCGTACATATGTTGAAATTTCAAAACAAGACAAAGAAAATAAAACATTACGCGATAAGCGCCTGGATTGACCCTCGGGCGTCTCCTTACTAGGAAGGAGCCGCTTACCTAGGAGGAAGCAGCAACTTGTGGCTTGGACCGGTTTAAACTCGTCTCATCCCACCATCTTTCTCTCGACGACCTTCCACGTTCAAACGAGTTATCAAAAGTCGCAAAACAAGACTATCGAAATGTCGGACCACGAGGAAGCAAACGGACCTTCTCAGCCTCAAGAGCCTGAGTCCAAGGTGGAGGACGCAAATGCGCCTATTAACATCAAGGTATGTGCGAGATGCTAGGAGGGCAGTCTTTAGTCGCGTCGCTGACATTGTCCAACGCTGCCTGCGGAATCGCTATACCAATCGCATCTTGCAATTGTGCCACTATTTGGCCGGAATAATTGCAGGTCGTGACACAGACAGGCGAGGAAGTGTACTTCAAGATCAAGCGAAGCACGAAGTTGAGTAAGCTCCAGAGCGCATACGCGCAGAAAGTGGGCAAGGACGTGAATAGTATTCGGTATGTTCTTGCTTCTGTTGTGTTTTCTTATCGCGTCGTTTGGTCGCTCTCGGACCTCTTCGTCGTTTCACGCCACACGAGGCTCCTAGGAAATGACCTTGAGCGCGTACGCGTAATAGGAGATGCGTATGGTGCGACAGATGGATTGTTTATTGACGATCTCATGTTTTGGATAGATTCTTGTATGACGGTAACCGAGTGAACGAGAGCGATACGCCTGCGACATTGGAGATGGAGGATAACGGTTAGTTTTCTCATTGCTGTTACTTCTTAGTGTAACAACGACTGATGATGCGATGTGAACAGACACAATCGATGTGATGGTAGAACGTAAGTATTAATTGCACTCTAGTTCAAACATGTCTGTACTCATCAAACCCTCATGGCTTCAGAGGTCGGAGGGTCAGCGTGACCGCTATACAGGCGAAAATCCCCCAATTGTCTCGTCTCGCCCCCTTTCTCCCGCATCCCTCTTCTTGTTCTCCATCATCCAGATCTAGAACAATTCATCTTGAACCGTACTTCGCCCATCCGTCCTCGTTCACTGTTGCTCGGTGTATTGCTGTCCTCTTTTCTACGCCTGTTAGCCTTTAGCTTCTTGATGTCCCATTATACTTTTATTTCTACTTTTTGTCGTCTGTCGAGCGTCCCCCTCCTCTCCAGCAGTAATCAAAGAACACAGATGTAGCATGTCCTGACTTTCCCCTGAATCATAGCAACAACAGTAACCTGCACAGTCGGTGCTGCGAGCTTGAATACTTCTACTAATATTGTGACAGGAGGCACGCTGGGAATCCGAACGAGTACAAGAACCGTAACGGGGTCTAGTCAATTCTCCTGCTTTTTATGACTCATCCCCGCCTCCCTTCGCCAGACGATGTTCGCCTCTCTCCTGAATCATCTCCGCCATCTTCTGTCCCTCCTCAGTACCTAAACCCTTAAATCCTTCCACGACACCTCTCCAATCCCCATCACTGTTCTCCTGACTAAGTTTGAACCTCCCTTCAATACGCTCTATACGTATTTCCAACCCTATGATAGCCTTCTTCAGCAGATCAACATATTTCTTTGGCGCATCGTCCACTTCCCACTGCTCTCCTTCGACCTTTCCCCGTTTGCTCGCTGCCTCCACCACTGCGCTCTCCTGCTGATTGGTCAAATCCTCAACCTGCCGTTGAAGGAACGCAGAAGTCGCTTCGTTATTCACGTGGTAAACCTTCGCTCGGCCGTACACCTGGACAGCGGCATAATCCCAGGTAGGAACGACCTTGCCATCTGCGGGTTTGGTCTCGACGTAGAATTTGGGTGTGACGTAGGAATGCACAGGTGCATTGAATAGGACTAACACTTCGTCTTTGAGTTCGTCCGCGCCTGATTCGACGAGCGAGTCGATGATCGCTTTACATTGCGGGTTGGCACGAGCCATGTGACCGCGAAGCACCCCTCGACTACTGTCAGTGTCATAGTCGGTCGGGCTATCAAGGACGAATGGGATGTGTGTGGTTTGAAGGGTTGCATGTGTAGGGTGGGGTATCGCAGTGGTGAAGAGCCCTAAGGGGTATTGCCGTATGAATTGATGTAGTGTGCGCAGGTCGAGTTCAGCATGGACTGGACGGATGTACATGGTCATGAAGATGAGCAGTGCAAGAGGGTAAGTGATTTAAGGCGTGAAATACCTTGAAGCTTGTAAGCTTCTCTACTGAAGTGGAGTCATTGCGGTATTTATACTGTGCGCAATAGCGTACCGCTCAAGAGTCACGAGAATACGTACAGGAGGTCGGAGGAACTTGCAGTGACTAAGGGAGGCCGAAGCTACATTATGCATTGGCATACGATAATGCTCGCAATGCGGTTGGATATCACGATGCGTTGATCGGGGTGCATCTGTGCACACCGAGCACATAATTACTCAGAAACTTGAGAAGGGCGAGCTGTGAAATAATGGCGTAGGCGTTATTGTGGTAGATAGTGATTTGTGGTATATGTTCCAGGTTCATGTAGGACATGCAAGTCATTCCACATTCCAAGGTATGAATTCGACGTTGGTCGTTCTGATATGCACTTCGGCACTGGGTATTATTCCGAGCTATGCGGATCCATTCGACAGTCATCCTGGCCCATCCACTGACTTCACTCCAATCTCCAAGCCATCCAATACCGCTTTAAAAGGCAAAGAACGCCCCAACAAGGCCACCTATCATTACCGTCGTCAAGCATGCCACGGCCGAGTGCATCCCACTCGAGGCAAGCCCACCTCCGGAGCTCGTGCCTTCAGTAGACTCAGCACCGTCGGCACTACTACTGCCGGTGGGCAACGCCGTGATGACACTTCTCGTACCTGCACCAGCAGAGCTAACAGGGGTATCAGTCGAAGAGAAGAAGACTGAGCCGGATCGAGTGGCTGAGCCTGATGGGATAGTGACACTTCCGCTTCCCTTGGTTGGCGTCGGAGCGTCATCAATGGAAAGAGTAGACAGGGGAGCGCCTTCTGCTGAACAGGCTAGTTCATATTCTGTACATTCGTATTTAATCTTTCAGTGAATTATAATGAAAAACATATAGGATTGCGAGGACTGACGAGAAAGGGCCTGGTTTGCCTGGTTCAATAGAGCGGTATCGTTCGGGATCTGATCAAGCATACACTCGAGGCAGACCTTGAAACCAGTGTTGACTGTCTCCGTGCAGAAACACGAGACTGAAGCAGCACACGTCGTTCCCTATCATCCGATAATTAGGAACCGTGTATCACATGGAGGGTATAGTGGTATAGACATCGAGATCTGTCAACATGGCGCGCTGTCACTTCAAGTACTTACATTGAACACCTGGACCGTCGTCGCACAGTCGACTTGGCACTGCACGGCTTCATTGGTAAGATCGACGTATAGTGACTCGGGAGAGAAGGCGTACTTGAGCAGGGATGTCGCTAGGGTCAAACGTACTCGTTTGCCTCCCCAGTAAGAGGTGAAGAGGGCTACGGCCATTCAAAGCAGACGCATTGACTATTGACAAAATCACGAAATGTAAGCAACCCATAATCCGCGCTCGAGTCATCTTTACAGACATACCTTTAGTAACCAAGAGAGCAGCAGAAACTACACCGAGGGCAAACATGACGAGCTATAGTAGCGACGAGCTGCCAATTGAACCAAGGGGTGAAGTTTCTACTAACTCTGAAGGGGGTGGGGGAAACAACTCAAGAAGGCCTGCCTCCGCTCCCGAGGCCACTTTATACATGACATGGTCCTGCCCACAAATATGCAGCAACGTTGTTGTATCCCTGCTGATCTGCCAATGGTGGACTAGTCAGTAAGGCACGCCAAGCACAAGCTTCTATTGCGGTGCAATTAATGAAGGGACGAATGATTTCGCGCCGAACGATTAGTCCGGCATACGCGGTAATTGGGTACGTGTACAGTACATAGCTGATAACTACACAAAAGCGAAAGTAAAGAGGTTCGCATATGCACCGAAATCTGCGTTCGAGGTAAGGGACCATAACATGAAAATCGAATTTCTCAGCATCCAAGCTCGAAGCAGCAAAAAGCAATCAACCATCAATGTTAATGGACACTGAGAGGATCGAACTCCCGACCTCATGCAGACCAAACCAGGTGCAAAGCATGCGCGCTACCACTGTGCCAAGTGCCCATTTGTCATTGTCTGCTTTAGAAAATACACCATGTGAGGTGTAATTAAGATTCCATGGATCCTAAGCTTGACCGGCTAAAGTTGGATCTCCTGCCAGTGCTGCCACTTCCCATGTCCAACGAACGCTTTCATGTCCCAAACCTTATAAACTTGTGTGGAGACCACTTTGAGCTGCGGGTCAATAAATACTGCAAGGAAGTGTCCACATCATCCCTTGAACGGGCCAAGAGAACGAACTTCCTTTCCCCACAGGAAGTGGCCAGTCTCCCCGACCTGCAGTTGTCTCTGCTCGCGTCCCTATGCTATCCTACATGTGATGTTACGCAACTTGGATACTTGACCAACTTCATTCTCCTACTGTTACACTGGTCTAATAGATTTTGTGCAGCCAGCGCGCAAGCGTTCGAAAGGTATGCTTGCCTTCAACGTCGCTCTTTCGCGTGCGAGTTCGCTGACCGGTGTTAGTATCTGGAAACAGGTCGTACGGGAAACACCTTTAGATTGGCAGAATCGTTTCCAGACGCACCTCAGAACCCACCGCGATGCTCGACTACAAGTAAATCAAGACCGCCAGTCTGGTATCATCCCGAGTCTAGCTACCTACAAAACGATTAGACGTGATTCGTCAGGCTTGATGATGGCCTTTGACTACATTGAATACGTCGCCAGGCTCCGTCTACCGGACAGTGTCCATGAGTCCCCGCAGTTTATGGAGATCAAGAATACCGCTCACGATATCGTGATGTGGGCAAATGTACAAATTACTTCTCAACTGAGGTTACTACGTCTGACCCAAGTACTAGGATATCTCTTCTTACAACCTCCGACAGTCTCTCGGTGATCACCATAACTTGGTCGCAGTGATCATGAAGGAGGAAGACTGCTCGCTACAAATCGCGGTAGACAGTGCAACCGACCTCCTCAAAGCTGCCATAGAAAAGTTCCTCAATCTGGAGAAAGCGTTACCCTCTTGGAGCCCGGAGATAGACGAGGACGTTGATCGATATGTGCAAGGTCTGCGAGATTGGATCGTTGGTTCCATACATTGGATATACGAGACTGGAAGGTATTTCGATGGCAATGCAGAAGACGTTCGAACGTTCGGGTGGGTGTTCCTGTTACCCAAGCAATCCACAAATCCAGAGGCTGCGCCAGCGTTGTGACGTGCCAATGCTTCTCAAAATCTGTTTTCGCATACGGTACGTCTAAAATCCGCTTTACCTCAAGTTACTCATGACAGGATTAGATTCTCATCGCGATTTCAGCCTAGCGTCAGCTCCAGTCGATCCAGTCGATCCACCCTGCTCGTCTTCCCTTGATACTCTCTTGATATTTGCAGTCCGCCTTCGCCTATGTGCATATGTCTTAGTTCGTTTTGTGCTTGTGTTGTGTTCTCCGGCCAACGATGTTCGTGGTATGTTCTTGTCTACACTTCCAAGCCATAGCCATTTATGGTATGCTTCTGTCCATATTAGGCATGCCGACTTCCAATCCAGGCGATGGCGGTTGAGGTGAGCTCGGGTTGAGCCGACTTAGGGTCCAGTTTTGAACTTTAGCAGACAGATCTTGTTTCCCGATATAGTAATTTATCACGTGCACTTAACGCTTCCGCCGGCCTTTCCGGCTCCCCCGGTACTGGAATTTATTCTGTGTATTTGTTTTCTGATTAATTCGTCTGCACATGTCACACCTTGCCTTTGGCTCGTAACATGAACCGTGCGTGGACGGTTCTCCTCCTTCACTCCACCCATCATCTTCCCCCTAGGCCACGTCTCCCTCGACATTCTCATCAACCACCACGCCATGGCAACGTAAATATTTTATGCGCCTTCTTCCCTGACACTGCCGTCCCACTCCCGCCGTGCCCCGGGGCGCATTTCGGACGCGTCGGACGCGTCGCCGTGAGCTGCAACTTGGCCCGACGCGTCCTCTGGGGTGTATCCCAGCTCAAGCACCGGGTTTCTCTCGATTGGGCGCGGATCTAGTACAGCTGGGCTGGGATTAACTTGTGAAGAATGCGACGATACGCCGACATGGCAAACTTGCTCTTGATGGGGAACTAGTCCTGCTCGCGAGAGGGTGAGTGTTCCACAATGACATGCTTCATTCCCGCCTGGAAGACACACTCTGGCATTATACATTGCACTACTACACCTTATGCCGACACTACTAGTCCTGGATATGATCATGTGTACCAGTACTACTGTAAATGTGGGCAGGGAACAATATTAATAGCATACAGCAGTGAGCAAGAAATGAATACAAATTTCTATAGTATTTAGATTGGTACTTTGAGGACTTCACGCCTGAGACTTCCAGTGGCTCAGTTTAAACTTCATGAAGTTGAAGGTTCAGTGGACTTGTCACAGAGTCACAGAGCTATGTTTTACAGTAAAAATATGTGTTTATATGTAAATAAAATGTCCGTATGAACGGCGAGAGACCGGTGGCAGCCGGCGAGGAAGGTACCATATATGGGTGAGCGCTTAAAATCTGTCTGCTAAAGTAACGCAACTCTTAGGGTCATAGCATCAATATCCAGACCAACCCTTCTCAACGTCACAGCAGACGATGAATGTAAAGTTATTAAAGCGACTCACATGTCTTTGCGAAGCTGAATGCTTTCTTTGAATTGCTTTTGTGGTGACCCAACATCATTGGGGTCCATGTAGAATACGATTTGATAGCAAACAAGGACAGCAAACGATTATGTACCAATACGAAAAGAGCGTGTGAAATCTATATCGAGAAACGAAGGTGAAGGCCATGAAACCAATACTAGGGTATGAACGAACGTGATAGGGTGAGATGGGGGGTAACAAATCCAACCAATTATACCAGAATATATGTAACAAGAGATTCGAGACGGGGGCACGAGAGACCCACTTTTACTTGGTGCTGTGTTCCGCTTTGATGAGGTCGCACAGCTTCTCGGACATGGCGACGATAGGTGCAACGGGGTGGCCGGAGACTTGAGTAGGGAAGACTGAGGCATCGACGATTCTGAGGCCTTTGATTCCGTGGACTTGGAGCTTGGGGTCGACGACGGCGTCAGTGGGGTCTGTACCCATACGGCAAGTACCAGCCTGGATATGCATCTCTACGTTAGAGACAATTTATCAGGTAAGAATTAGGACGTACGGGATGGCATGCGGGTTGACCGTTCTCGATGATGAACTTCCTCAGGTCGTCGTCGGTGAGCTAAAAAGATGTTACATCAACAATCATCTTAACTGACGACTTGTCATAGACTCACCTTGTCGAATTCCTTGTCCCCGAACACGAAGTATCCGTCTTTAGCTGGGTTTAAGGGCCTCAAGTCCAACTGAGAATTGAGAGGTTCAGTCTTCAGGATCTTCAGAATCAGTCGGAGTCCTCTCAAGATGACGTTGATATCGCTCTCCGAGGACAGATAGCTACAGGTAAAAAAGATAGTAAGCAAATGATAGGAAGCCCATCCTCGACAGCAGCTGCTTACTTTCCGTCAATCTCGGGTCTGTCCCAGATGCTACCACTCTTGATCTTGACGCTTCCCTCACTCTCGGGTTTCAACAACACCGATGCCTAGAGACGTGTTACTTCAGGAAATCGGGCGTTACACATGATACACTGCAGACTTACGGTAGTGATGCCATTATCCCCAGATTTGGGAACTGTCCAGTAATCCGGTGCGATGGCGGGTGTGAACATGAACTCCAGATCAGGTGCATTAGGACCAGACGTCAAGTTCTTGCATGGCCCGATGCTAGTATCGATGAGCCTGAACAAGTCAACATCAGCGCATGTGCGGGGGAAGGAATGATGGGTCAAACGTACTTTTCATCATCGGAGCGGACATATGCAGCAGAGTTGACAGCCATCATACTGAATGGGCCCTTGCCGGACCACAGCCATTTGATGAGAGCCAACGCGGCTGAGAGGGGTTGAGACAGCAGGTAGTCCATCGTAACGCCCGGCTTGGCGCGGAAGCTGATCAGACCAGACGACATGTGCTGCGTATACATAACAATGCTCAGAAGCGACTTTGCGAGGAATACCAATAATTACTTACGTCGACCATGTGTTTGCCCACAGCGGGGAGATCCTTGACGCATTTGACACCAGCAGCTTCGAGCTCATCCTTGGGTCCAACACCACTCACGAGAAGAATGTGAGGGGAAGAGAATACACCACCGCAGAGGACGACTTCCTTCTTGGCCTGGACGCGGTACTTTGGCGACTTAGGACCGGAAGAGACTTCGACAGCAGCGGCACGTAGAGAATCGTCTTCGCCAGAAAACAAGATCTTCTCGACCGTTGTCGTCACTGCGACGGTAAGGTTAGGCCTAGCGAGGACATCGGGTGTTAGGTATGCTGCCGCTGTGTGGTTACCTGTATACAAGATGGGTTACTACGGGAACGTAAGTTGTACACTAGTCGCAGAAGCACATACGTTCTCCTTTCTCGGTAATGAACCCGTGAAGCACACCCACACCAGGGGCGCTTCCTGAAGCGTTGATATCCCTAGACACAAATCAAGGCTTGGCGCATGCACGGTGATATCGGGACACAATTACGCACTCATGAACAGGGATTCCAACAGCCTTGCATGTGTCGATCCACGTTTCCGTGATTTTCTGAACGTTGCCGAGTTAGACTTCAACCCGTGTGATCTCGTGTGAAAGGAAGAAGGCACTTACGGCTGGCAGTTCAGTCTTCTTGAGATGCCAGGGTCCATCGCGACCCTTTTCGTCAAGTTTAAGGGATGATGAGGAGCCGGATGAGCTGTAACGCTCGGCCTTACGGAAGTAACTGGAATTCACCTATGAGACGAGTCGAAGGACACGACGCGACTGACTTACGGCTCGAGCTCCTGCCATGACCACCCATCATTACCAGCTTTGGCCCAGCTGTCGTAGTCTGAAGGTAGCACTTGTCAGCGATGGTTGGTTCGTGGAAATATTTGGTCCCTACCATCTGGGAAGCAGCGATCATAGATTAAGGCATTCAATACACTACCC